CAGTCGTATCTTTTCAGTTTACAGTTATATCTTTATAGTTGCATTTATTCATTTAAAGTTACGTTTTTCCATTATATAATTTTATTGCATTTTTTGTATAGTTAGTAATACTACGAAGTTTTTTTACATCAACCATTAGACAACATATCAAATTGGTTTTATTAACCAAAACAACAACCTCAATAAATGCATTTTCACTTCTGAACGGTTGTGTCTCTTTATCATAACTTTCCATTAAAATATTAACGGTTATTTTTTCGGGTGTGTTAGTATTCACATAGTCCAATCCATTACAGCCCGGCAGTCTAACAGGCGTAGATCACACTGGTTTTTTATCGCAACTCTTCATTAAAATATTGAAAGTTATTTTTCGGTTGTATATTTTTATTGCAACTTTGCGTTAAAATATTGGTTGTTACTTTATTCGTTTGTGTCTTTTTATCGCAGCTTTCCGTTAAAATATTGACGGTTATTTTTTCTTAGATGTGTCTTTTTATCGCAACTTTCCGTTAAAATGTTGACGGTTATTTTTTCTCGGTTGTGTCTTTTTATCGCAACTCTTCGTTAAAATATTGACGGTTATTTTTTTAGTTGATGGTTATTTTTCGGTTGTGTCTTTTTCTCGCAACTTTTCGTTAAAATATTAACGGTTACTGTTTTCGTTGACGGTTATTTTTTTGTTGTGTATTTTTTCTCGCAACTTTTCGTTAAAATATTGACGGTATTTTTTTCTCGATTGTGTCTTTTTTTTTGTTTGTTAGAATATTGACGGTTATTTTTTTCTCGATTATGTCTTTTTATTGCAATTTTTTGCTAAAATATTGACAGTTATTTTTTCTCGGTTGTATATTTTTATCGCAACTCTTCGTTAAAATATTGATGGTTACTTTTTTCGTTGACAGTTATATTTTTGGTTGTGTCTTTTAATCGTAATTTTCCGTTAAAATATTGACGGTCATTTTTTTTGTTTGTGTCTTTCTATCGCAACATTCCGTTAAAAGTTTGACGGTTATTTTTTCTCGATTGTGTCTTTTTATCGCAATTCTTCGTTAAAATATAGACAGTTCTTTTTTTCGTTGACGATTATTTTTTTGTTGTGTCTTTTTATCGCAACTTTCCGTTAAAATATTAACATTACTTTTCTCGTTTGTGTTTTTTTATCGCAATTTTTCGTTAAAATATTAACGGTTATTTTTTCTCGGTTGTATTTTTTTGTCCTAGCTCTTTGTTAAAATATTTACGGTTACAATTTTTCAATGATGGTTATTTTTTTGGTTGTGTCTTTTATCGTAACTTTCAGTTAAAATATTGACGGTTTTTTTTTTGTTTGTCTTTTTATCGTATCTTTCCGTTAAAATATCGATGGTTTCTTTTTCTCGGTTGTGTCTTTCTATTGCAACTTTCCGTTAAAATATTGACGGTTATTTTTCTCGGTTGTATCTTTTTATCATAACTCTTCGTTAAAATATTGACGGTTATTTTTTTCCGTTTGTGTCTTTTTATCGTAGTTTTCCGTTAAAATATTTACGGTTACATTTTTCGTTGACAATTATTTTTTCTTATGTGTCTTTTTATCATAACTTTTTGTAAAAATGTTGACATTTACTTTTTTTGTTGTGTCTTTTTTGTCGTAAATTTTCGCTAACATATTGACGGTTATTTTTTCTCGGTTGTGTTTTTTATCGCAACTTTCAGTTAAAATATCGACGGTTATTTTTTATCGGTTATGTTTTTTTATCACAACTCTTCGTTAAAATATTGACGGTTACTTTTTATGTTGACGGTTATTTTTCTGGTTGTATTTTTACATTTTTTTGGTTTTGACCCGCTAGAATTTTTTCTCTCTATATTATAACTCTTCGTTAGTTATTTTGTCACTTATAAATAAATTTATATTCACAGAAAATGTTCCAAAAGTGTTTTTTAATCATAATTTTTTTTTTACATTTTTATTCATAATTTTTTTTTAATATCTTTAGAAAATATTTACGATATAAATTTAAGACATAGTTAATTTTATATAATAATTCAATTATTTGAATATATTATAATAATAATTTAATACATAAACGTGATAAAATATATTTGTTGAAAATGAGTTTCCCCGCGATATCGCGGGGTTCATAACCTAGTTCAAATAATACTAATTCAGTTCGTTAATTATCACGGAAATGTCTCATGCTACTCACATAGAATCTACCCATCATATATGTTATCAATTTCTTTTTTTTTGTGATAAAAGCCTACTTGAATATCATATATATATATATATATATATATATATATATATATATATTTGTTATTACATTTACATCAACCAGATATTGAGAGTTTAGAAATCTTTTGTGTGAAGAGAGTTCATATTGATTATACACAATAAACATGGTAGCGTATAAGTCATGCATGATATCAATTAGATAAAGAAGCTTTACAATAAACTTATAATAACATGTAGAAATATATAAATGTATCTAACGAAAAAGTGAATAAAATTGTAAACAGAACAAAAGAAGAGTTGATTCATATATTTTCTTTTGACCCAAAAAGTAATACCAATAATCAATTCTTTTTCTTCTTTCTATATCAACCTTCTGAAGTGAACTTTGTTGCGTCATTTCCAAGACTTTTCTCATAATATCATCATATAGCTTTAACTAGGTACACATAAAAATGTAAAATATGACGACTTTTTGTGAAGCCAACCATTTTTCAAAAAATATCTTACGAAGAGTCTATATTTGAATAACAACATAGCTGTGACTCCTTTTTTTTTTTTTTTTTTTTTTTTTTTTTTTTTTTTTCATAGAAGCAAGAAAATAAATATAGCATTTTACATACATGGACAAAATATAATTTCATAAGTTATGAGGATAAATGTTTTAATGGGTTTTAAATACGATTTCAAGATGTTTAAATCTAATGATTTTGATGACTAATTCTAAGTCTATATTAGAGACGAAATATCTTAAAAACGATAAGCATATGAACAGTTGAAACAAGTGATCAATGAAGATTTTGAGATAGACAAAAAAAAAAGATTTTGAGATGGATTGGAGCTGAACTAATAATAAATAAAATAAACTATCTAAAGATTATTTATGAATTTATTAAATGTATATTTGATGTGTCTTAAGTTGTTTTGGAAAAGACTAATTAAGGATTCGAGGTTATGTACATATCCTTAAATTGCTAAAATTAATCTAAGATATTAAAAAATTTATAACTATATGTTCCATATAAAAAAAAAAAACTATGTGTTCTATCAAAGAGAGGTTTAATATTTGTATAAAATTTATTCTTTACTGTATTAAAATTATAAGAAATGTTATAATTTTAATTTAAAATCAAAGTTTTATTTTTATATAATTATTTAGAATTTAAATAATAAACCATCGCTTTCTTTTACTTTCAAGTTGTGGCAATAAAATAGGACTATAAGATAAATGTATTTCAAAGCATCCTGATATTTATTTTCTTGATGAAAGAACCAAAAAATATACTTAACGAATTTCAACTACAAGAGAACAAAATAATCAAAATGATCACTATAAGTCTATAATGCGTCATGGGATCTAAGAATAAATTAAAACGCATTTTCTAATACATTTGTTAATTAGGAGCCTATGGCTTGAGCCGCTTGACAAAAAGTGACAAGTCTAACCAACAAACATATTACTTGAAATATAATAATAAATACTGAAATTTACCCAGATTGACTCAAATCTGGAGATTAATAACTAGATTGACACCCTAGTTTTATAGTTTACTAGACTAACACAAATTTTGTGTTAAATGACCAAAAACCCAATTTAGTTTTATTAGTCTTAGGAAAAAAATCAAACAAAACCAAAAACAAAACCAAAAACAAAAAAGAAAACCCTAAGGACGACTTTCTCGTTTATTCCTCAACCTCAGAAGAAAAAAAAACTAAGAGTCCGACAGACTTAAATCGAAATCGCGACTCCGACAAAGACTCGAAGCCGCCGATTACAGAAGACCAGCCATAGAAGACGGTGCTCTTTTGTTCGAGCAGAACAGCAGCAGTCACCGCCGATTACAGAAGCAGCCATTGACGACGGTGCTCTTTCTCTGGGGAACCCGCCGCCAACTTCTCTTGTTCTTCTACTTCCCGTCGTCTTCCTTATCTTCCAGTCATCTCCGGCGTTTCCCCTAAACCCTAATCTTTGGTTGCCACCGCCGATTGAGTCTCTCTGTATCTGCTTTGCGACGTCCTCTTTCTCTAATGTTCTGTTCATTCGATTTGCCGGTGTAATCAGAGCTACTGGCCATCACTGTTAGCATTCTTCCTCCATCGACGAAGTCTTTATTCTCAATTGACAGAAGAAGAAGAAGGCTACACCATTCCACCTCCTCCAAGTAAGATCTCGAGCCATAAACTGATACGAGTGAAGAAGAACTTTGTGATAATTCTGTGGTTCGAATCATATATTTAGGTTTCCGATATGTTTGTTTGTTGATTACTATCGATCTTCAATTATCTGGATTTGATTTTGTGATAAAGCGTAGTTCGAATCATAGGTTTAGGTTTCAGAATCTGATGATGAGCTGAGAAATTGTTGCGATTTGATGCTTTACTTGTATGATTTCATGCATATTTCTCGTTTTGTTTCTAATTTCGACTTTTCTTTTCCAAATCTCAGCTGATCAAGGAGCATCTTCTAATCGCTCTACTGGTAAGAACTTCTCTCTGGTCTTGGTTTGAAGTTGAGACTATGGCGTTTAGATTATGCTTATTAGAGTTGTGCTTTGCGTTTTCAATCATCTAATTGTCATCCTCTACAGAGAACTTTGGGTCTTCTTTTAGTGGAGTTGCTTTGCTTGAAGGAAGCCATAAACATTATGCATTAGCTTGCTTTTAAATTCTTTCTGTGCTGGAAACCAGTAACACTTGTGTGGAGTAGGGATGTTGTGTGGATCTCTTTGTGTCTTTTATGGTCCTTGAGCAGAATTTGTTTTGCCCTTCTCTGTCTATGAATTGTCTTTTGCTTGCTTATATTCTGCTAGAATAATGTGAACTTGAGTCTATGACTTCTCTGGTCTTGGTTTGAACTTGAGACTATGTCGTTTATATTATGCTTATTAGAGTTGTGCTTTGCCTTTTATTGTGTTCTGACATTCTTTCTAGAGAACTTTGGGTAGGAGTTGAGGAAATGCATAGATATTAAGCATTAGCTTGCTTTGTTTCTTATATAATGCTCGAGTGTATTGCTGTGCTAAAAACCAGTAACCACTTGTGTTATAAATCATAATATTCTACAGGTTTTAACACTTTATTCTCTTTTGGTATATTAATTTGTTTTGCATCAGATTTGTTTTAAATTGTTTATTAGCTGATTGTATTAATCCTCTTATATGCTGATTTATTATTTTGATAATCTTCAGGAATGGCGTCTTCGAGTAATGTCTTCAAATATCCTCCTCGTCTATATGCAGAAGGAAAATCACCTTTGCAACATAGAAGCATGAACCACAATTGTTATCTGTCCAAGATTGGTCAAATCAGAGAAGGATTAGGTATTGATGTGTGGGATGGATTGGAGAAATCATCACTAGGTGTGTTTATCAAGCTAGCTGAACTAGAGTACACATGGGCTGCCAAGAAAGTACATCTATTCCTCACAAATCAGTTGAAAGTGGATAACTTTCATGAGATATGGTCTATGATTGATGGTAGACCAGTCCGGTTCTCCTTAAATGAGTTTGCTGCTATAACAGGAATGAATTGCGATCCATTTGACCCGTCGGAAAAGTTTGAAGCTGATCACCGTGAGCTATGGGAGGCAATGAAAGTACCAATCTCAGAAGGTCCAAAGTTCAATGAGTTGCGAACTGTGATGGATCTTAGCAAGGCATGGGACTTAAAGGAGAGGATGATGGTGGGTAGGTTGTGTTTATTATCAGTGGCAATACATGGAGTGCACCATGGATCTAGATTTCCTTTGTCTAGTGCTATAAGAGTTCTTGATCCAGTGAGTTTTGAGAAATATCCGTGGGGACGAGTGGCTTTTGAATGTCTACTTAAATCGGTTAAGACAGTTGACTTTAACAAAGATGGTTATGTTATTAAAGGATGCGTTCACGCTTTGCTTATGTGGGTGTATGAGAGTTTCCCTGGATTAGGAGAGGGTTATGGGTTGAGAAGGCCTATCTTGACTGGTATTCCATTTCTTGATTGGCAGTCAACTCGGAAGGATATCGACCTAACAGAATTCATTAAAAACGAGAAGAAGCTGCATGGGCAGGTTAGTTTTTGATCTTTTAAATGTTGTGTCTTTATGTATCAAAGCAATAACTTCTTTATGTGTCTTTTTCATGTACTTTCTCTATAATGTGAAATTTAGAATATGATTTTATTGAAGTTTTATGACTGTTTTACACAAACTTAAGGTGCAGTCTTATTTTTTTTAAGTGTCATGACAACACTAACCTATTAATTTAAGCTGCAGTTTTTATTTCATTGGTGGTGCTGTTTTATAGAGCAGAGTGGCCATACGAAACATATGGATGGTTGAAAGATTATGTAAGTCATCTAAGATTAAGAGTTTAGTTTAATCGTTTCAGGTTTTTATTGATTCTAATCGGTTTTCATTTTAATGTAGCATATGGGTGCTGCGATGGCTATGTTCCGCAAAAGGTTGATGCGTAAGCCTTCAGCGTACCCAAATCAACGAATAACTTTCTTGGACCAAGACATGATGAGGGAGCTGGCTAGAGATTATGAGCACTTTTCTGGAGGACGTAGGAGCTTCAAGTTCAGGGACTATTTTGAGGAACACCTCAACGGGACAGCTCCTACTGAATCAGCTACTTACAAGAAGTGGTTCATCGATGTTGATCATCTTTATGCTTGCCTCTTTATCAATGGTGATCATTGGGTTGCTCTTGATATTGACTTGCGTGTGAGGAGGATTAACATCTACGATAGCATCCCACACTTGACCACTGATCCTGAAATGGCGAAACAATGCATGTTTTTGCGGTTGATGATCCCTGCCATGATGAGTGCTTTCGTACCTATCAACATACGTAAGAAGAGTAATGCAATGTTGGACGTGAAAAAGATTACAAAGAAGGTACCTTTGAATAAAGATCCCGGCGATTGTGCTATCTACACACTCAAATACATCGAGTGTTTGGCTCTTGGGAAATCATTCGATGGGCTTTGCGATGAAAACATAAATGCCATACGTGTTAAACTTGCAGCGGAGCTATTTGATGAAGTGAGAGAGGCAGCCAAACCATCTAATCTTGATCTTTGTGGTGTAGGTTTCAAGATCCCTAGTCTCATGGACGAATCCATCGAATGAGTGACTTTGATTTATGTAATCTCGTACTTATAGGTCTTTTGTTCTTTATTTCTAGGATTTAAAACAGTGTCACCTTGTTTCAGACTTTTTCATGCTTATTTTCAGACTTTTAGTGCTTCTGTATTGATTTATACAGAAATAACGGGGGATCTAGACTTTTGCCATCATTCAGCCTTGTCAATTACCTTACCAACGTTCCATACTTTTAATCTCTTCAAAAAACTATCATAATCTTTCAAACGTTTCGTGACAAACATAATCTATCAAAATTTAACCAAAGTATTATATGAAAAAGATAAAGAATTCAACTGTAGACTTACACCACAATAACTAGTCAATGACGAAAAAAGAAATTAAACTTGAAGATTACAAGTCTTACGATTATGACCAACTTGATTGCAATTCTTACGATTATGACCAACTTGATTGCAATTGCCACAAGTGTATAATTTTCTTGGCTTTTTCTTTTCCATAGCAATCTCCAATGCTGACTTAATTCTCGAATTCTTTGGCCTTCCCGGTTGTTGTTTGGGTATGGGTGGTAAACAAACCGTTGTTGCTACATGTTCAGGAACAGGTATAGCAAACTCCCTTGGCATGATGGCGTTAGCATAGGAATTGTAAAGATAGTTCTTGTGATAATACGAATGGCACATTGAAATTCTAGAGACTTTCCTGTTCTCAGCCGCCGCAATTGCGTGTGCACATGGCAATTTCTCCACATCAAACCTGCAACATGTACACTTTTTATCGACCAAATTTACAACGTGGAGAGATGTTGCACTTGTCACTTGTACTTGTTGTGCATCTATATCTTGCACAGCAAGTAACTTCGCATAGTCAACGCGGCTCTGTAAAAATGAATAACATTATTAATAGTGAAACAAATATACTTGTTTAATTGACATTGATTGAAAGTATGCGAATATACCTGCAGAATTTTCTCGACACCACGTGTCAAAGATGTAGTCATTTTTAATGCATTACTCCGCCGATCTGAAAACCATTTAGTCATCATGGACCTTATTTCTTCTAACAACTGTGTAATAGGAAAACTCCTGGCGTGTGACATCACATTATTCATTGATTCCGCAATATTGCTTGTAAGCAAGTTATACCTATCACCGGGGAAATGTACACGTGTCCAAAGTCGCACATCAGCCCTATCTAGATATGCATGTAGTTCAGGATTTGCCACTTCTATCTGATGGAATATGGTTTGAAAATCTACTTGTCTGAATGCATTCGCAGCCTTCTTAACCAATCCAAATGTTTCTTTACCTTTAAAACGGACCAATATATTTTTGTACAGATGGTATGTACAAATTCCTCTACTCGCCTTCGGATAAACCACCTTGATTGCTTTCGAAATTGATTTGTGCCTATATGAAATAATGGCTAGGCCCGCATCATCTGGTATGACACAGCTCAGTTGCTTGAAAAACCATTCCCAAGATTCATCATTTTCTGTATCAACCACAGCAAAAGCAATCGGAAAAATCTGAAAATTACCATCTTGAGCTGTTGCTGTAAGAAGTGTCCCTTTGTATTTTCCCTGTAGAAAAGTACCATCAACAACCACCACTTTCCTCATGAATGGAAATCCAAGCATGCTTGCACCAAAGGCTAGAAACATGTACTTAAATCTTTTTTCTTCATCAACTTCAAGTCTCGTCAATATCTCCGGATTAGCCCTTCTTAACATGTACAAGTAAGTAGGTAGTTGCTCATAACCACTCTCTGGACTTTCTCTTACCAATTCTCGCGCATACCTCATCGTCCTATAAGCCTTCCAATAATCCATCTATTAAGAAAAAATTACTGTTTCTGTTAAACATTAAAAACTTTTTGTTTTAAAACGCCAAAAATTATTAAAAATTGTATTGTACCTTGATCTGAAAACGTTTATTCAATGATTCAGCAACATGCATTGGCAATACTTTGGGGCCAATTCCACCAACAAAATCCTTGTATAATACTCCAAGAATATCATGAGTTGCTTGACGGGCACGTGCAGAACGCTCTGTTACTGAACATGAGTGTTCAGAAATAAAAACACGAATATGAAACTTTGGGTAGTCTCTTTGTGTCGTAGCTCGTACCCTCCACGTACACCCTTTTATCCAGCACTTGACAATCAAAAGAAAAGGTGTCGATTTGTCTACGTAGAAATCAAATCTCTGTACTACGGTTAGTATCTTCAGTCGTGTTTCCAAGTGTTCTTTTGATTCGTAACACTGTCCAACAGCCAAATCCACAGAAGGCAATTGAAACTTTGCATAATAATCATCATCTTTTTGTTCTTCAATATAGATACCTGAACTCTTTTTCTTCAACGGCAGTATTTGTTTTTCTTCTACAACTGGTGGAATCCCATACAAGCTATAATTCTCATCATCAGAATCTGTTCCGTCAGAGTCGTCACAGTAATCAAATCTCGTTTCTTCATCGTCATCGCCGTCATCACCAACAGCTTCATTAATCAAATCCGTAACTTCCTTAACCAACTCATTGGCAATTCTTGTTCGTTTTCTCTGCAAGGTACTATCAACGATGCCATCGGTGTTGGGTTGATTAGCTTCAATTGTAACTTTCTTCTTCACTTCAACACAAAGTCGAATTGTATCGCTCTTCAGTTGCCCCAAAAAAGAGTGAAACTGTCTTGAATTAGTAATAAAAACGGGTGGTGTATCATCCGGTAAATTCTGAGACAACATCTTCGAAATCTTGTAACTCAACACAACATCACAGCCTCTATTCTCGATTCCGTAATCCTCCATTACCATTCGAATGCATTGAGAGTAACTGGTTTCCCTATTAGCTTCCAGAACTCGACATCCTCTATTTGTATCAATGATGAACGACCATGTGTTATTCTCGAAAATCCATTTGCCACATACGAGAATCACCGGATCCATCTCCAACCCTTTCTTTTGAGACATCATGGTGAATTTCAAAAACCCTAGAGAAACGATAGATAGAGAAACGAGATAGAAAAACGGTTTATTTGTATGAACTTTTGTTGGCTGTCGTCCAAGAGGTAGAGAAATGGTTAGGATAGCCCAAAACCCTAGGAAAATAAGGTAAGTTAGATTATCTCGTCATTTATTATTTTTCAGTTATGGAAATTCAAAACAAAAAAGTCTGTCGTATTTAAAAAGTTTGTCATGTAGTCCATCATGAAAAGTCTGTCATCAAATATGTATAAAAAATCTGTCATAACATGAATAAAAATTAAAATCTGTCATTGCATAAAACATATCTGTCATCACTATACGAAGTCATTCCAGCAATTTCTTTTTTCATCACTAAATCTGTCGTAATGTGACAGTTTTCTTTGAACTAATCCTAAATCTGTCATAATGTAAATAAAATCTGTCATCACAAAAATATTTCATTTGCGATTGTAAGTCAATCTAGCCATTTTTTTTTTAATGACAAATCTGCTATCACTTGACAGTTTTTTTTGTTTTAAAAAAAAAACTGTCATAACATAAATAAAATCTGTTATCACTACTAAGTCATTCTAGTAATTAGAGGTAATTATTTTTCCAAAAACAAATCTGTCACTTGATGACAGATATTTTTATGAAAATTTAAAGTCTGAGGCCACTAGGAACATAAATCTGCCACTAATTTTAATAAATCTGTCAAAGTGATGAAAGTCTGTGGTGTTAACTTAAGTCTGCCACAACCTGTTAAATTAAGTCTGTGAGAGATAAAAAATCTGTCACAAAAAATCTGTCGTTGATAAATAAGTCTGCCATTTAAAATAAATCTGTCATAACGAACCCAGTAGACTTTTCAAAAACCAAAAAAATTTCCTAAATTTTTTCTGACGTTTTTCAAAAAATTTTAGGGGTAAATTTGACTTTTTTTTTTTCCTAACAAAGAGAGCAAGGGTATTATCGTCATAAAAATAACCAGTCTAACAACCCCCATATTTTATGAGACATTCTAGTAATTAAAGTCATTATTTGGGTCAATCTAGTAAGTTTCCCTAATAAATAAGTATAAACAATTTGTTTAATACCCTCTCTGTTCCTAAAAAAATGATGTTTTGAGTTTTATAGACAAATTAAAAAAAAGTAAATTTTATATTTATTATTATTATTTTTTAGTTAAATAATATTAGTTTTATTTCTCTTTTTTCTCTATTGGTCATAAACAAAAATAATAATGATATTTTTACAGAACATCAAACTTGGTGGAACAAGTAAAAACCCAAAAACATCAAATAACTAGGAACATAGGAAGTAGAATTTTAGTAAAGTAGCCGGTTTTTCATGTATATTAGTAGGTGATGGATCCTATGCTACCATGATATATATATTTATTTTATTTTTAAAAAAGTATCAAATACATAGAAAATACTAATTTATGGTTGAAGATTGTTAATAGTAATTAATCACGTTCTCAGTTCAAATATTTTTGGTTTTCAGAATTTTTTAGTTTATGGATAAACTAACCAAAATAAAACTAAGTTAGTATGGATGGTTTGACAAGAATTTGGTGTCGGTTTAGATTCACGTTTTAGTAAATTATACATTTAAATTTTAAAGAAATTAGAATTTAGTTAAGTTTTACTTGATTGTTTGTTTTTACATACTTGATTGTTATATATGTATTTGACTTTTAAAATTTTAATATCAAACTTAGCTCTATGTCTAAGTTAGAAATCGATTTCTTTCCGATGTTTCAGAAAAAATCTTGCATTATCTTAATCACCCGTAAACATCTTCAGTGACAAGAAAATCCGGATTTGTATGAACCCTAGTGATCAGTCAGTGTTTCAATTTTTTTTTTTTTTTTTTTGTAGTTATAAAAAATAAATTTTAATATCGAATCTAGTCTTTATATTAGTCTTAATACGTTTATATCTCTTAAAGATGATTTTAAAAAATTCTATATGGTAGACATACAATTCAGATATTAACTATTCGAATACATATAAACTTTTTTTTTTTAATATATATATAAACTTTTGTTTGTTCGCGAAT